GGGTGGTTTGCTGTTGGTGGAAAAATATATATTCTGACGAAGGACATTCCTCTGTTCTAAATTAGCAAGAGAAAACAGATTTGTTCCCTTACTTCCAACCCAAGTGCGCAAATGCACGCATCAAGTAATAATGGGTGTATTAATGCCTAAATTATCGTTCCCACGAGAATAGAACTCTAAATAATGTATTAAATTATTTCATAAAGAATGAAAATGAGAAGAAAAGTTAGTGATTGAACTGTCTGGTCAAACGTTCCCTACTGTCTTGACAACGTTCCTCAAGAACAGTAAGTTCAGTCTGATAGCAAACAACTCCTCGCGTCGTTATATATGTGATCCTTCTTGTTGAGAGAAGGTACGACAATAGTCATTGAAGATTGATAGATACAAGATTGAACAAATTAAAAATAAAAAAGTAATAACTATAACCAAGAGACAACAAGGTAGATGGTTTTAAAAACAGTTTTTAACACAAGGAACAGATTTACTGCTCCATTCTTAAATATTTATTTTCTCTGCTCAAGACTTAGCATTTTTTAGCTTTATCCCAGTTTCTTAACTGCCAACTCTGATTTCTCAGCTCATGGACTAGATGGCTCACAAGTTTCCATATTACTATGGCTCCCTTGACTCCAACAAGTACTTGGTACTAAACCTTAAAATGGACGAAGTGACCCCTTACTCCTAAGGTAACCAATAGTGTCGTTTCCAAAACACTACCTTCCCCCACTGGCTAAGCTGTCTGAAATCGTTCCTTAAGGAAGTTCCTTTCTCAGTATGTGTTCAATTTCCATTGACACACAATGAATATAGCTTACTTAGCCAGAGAAATACAAAAAGCTTTAGTACAAGAGTCTTGAAAATAATTCTTTAAGAGTTTTGCAGCTTATCCGTTCCACAGATACTTCAGCCCATGGTTGTTACTTTAAACATAATTATTCTAAACTGAAGTTCCATAGACCCGAGATTCAGCTCAGAGATAACGAGTGGAAAGGAAAGAAGAAACACTTATATTGAAATGAAACAAGAAAGATTACAACAAAATATAATGTAACATCCCGAGCGCTGACGAGGGCGGGGAGTGATCGCCGGTGCAAAGAGGCACGGACAAGGAGTGGCTCCTGACAGGCTTCCAGCGGGGGGTTACATGCATGAATGAATCGAATCAACACCCGAAAGAGAGGGATTCCAAAGGCTGTGCAGGCATAAGACTGCATAGTTTGGGATAGCTTATAAGAATTAATTGGTACTACCTATACTAACAAGATGCATCTGTTTTTCGGTAGCCCGGATCAGAAGAACTCCACAATTAAGCGTGCTTGACTTTGAGCAATTCTGGGATGGGTGACCTCCTGGGAAGTTTTCTCAGGAAGTGTGCGAGTGAGGAAAAAGCACACTGAAAAGTCTCGTGTTAGTATGTGGGGATAGTCATTGATTCTTGAAGCGGTCGGGCGTTACAAGTGGTATTAGAGCAGGGCCTCTCATCCAGTACGGTGTGGTTCGAGGACGAACCAGGCGGAAGCTGGTGGGCATGTAACATCCCGAGCGCTGACGATGGCGGGGAGTGATCGCCGGTGCAAAGAGGCACGGACAAGGAGCGGCTCCTGACAGGCTTCCAGCAGGGGGTTACACGCATGAATGAATCGAATCAACACTCGGAAGAGAGGGATTCCAAAGGCTGTGCAGGCATAAGACTGCACAGTTTGGGATAACTTATAAGAATTAATTGGTACTACCTATACTAACAAGATGCATCTGTTTTTTGGTAGCCCGGATCGGAAGAACTCCACAGTTAAGCGTGCTTGACTTGGAGCAATTCTGGGATGGGTGACCTCCTGGGAAGTTTTCTCGGGAAGTGTGCGAGTGAGGAAAAAGCACACTGAAAAGTCTCGTGTTAGTATGTGGGGATAGTCATTGATTCTTGAAGCGGTCGGGCGTTACATATAAAGTGGAGAAGATGGTTGATGCTCGTGAGGAGTCTTAAGTGGATGATACAGAATAAAGGAGAAGTGTTGTCACTTAATTATAGCTACAACTATACAAAATTAAACTACAAACTAAATAATACTAGGTGATCCCTTCTTAAGGAATTCGATGATGTTTTCATGTTTGGGACGTCCTATTTATAGGCAGAAGAGTGAGTGGCAATCTTGTAAAATCCCTTGAAGTTGGTTTCTTGACTGTATGGACGGGGCGATGACAACAGTGTTTGGAAGCTTGCAACTTGCTAGATGGGACAATTATTGTTGAGATTTGCCGTTTTCTTGTAGTCCCCCATGTCTTGTTTTCTTCTCAGCCAATAAGAACTCTTTATTCCCTGTTGTACACGTTTCTTTGTGCTTAATTGATGCACCGCCTCTGCTTTATGGAAACTTTGTTTCCACGTTTCCTGCAAAGTGACCAGAAGCAATAAATGAGTGGAGCAGGTGCAATAAATGCTCTCAATCCGTTCCACTTTTAATATGTTTTCCAAAGGATTATGTCATCATCCGTTCTCCCACTATGTTTTTGTCACAAAGATGTAAAACAAGTGATTTTCATGCTGAAGTCGCTCATCAGATAAGGGAACAGATGGTATTTTGCTATCAAAATGAGCTTAGATAGGAACGAATTTACATCCCATCAATAAGCGTCAATATAAGGATCAAAAATTAAAGTCGGGTAATCTAGCACTCAAGGTAGGTAGGCATTTTAATGATATCTCAATAGCTTTGAAATATAATAACTTCTTGTTTCTTTTTAGTGGTATTATTGATGAATAATTTTGCTATATGCTTCATTAAAAAAAGGGAATTATGGATTGTTTTTTGGTGGAAGGTTTATGCTATTGTACATATTAATGTCTGCAATGGTTGGTACATAAGTAGAATCATATATATTTACAAATAATAAAATTAATTAGAATTGGATTTGTTTAATTGGGTTAAAATGGTGATTTTCAACTGATGGAAGCTGGTGTTTTTATCTAGGGATGCTTGATATAGATGTCTAATAATGATGAATCACTATCTCCAGCCAACAATTAAATGAGTAATAATCAGGGGTGCATGTGTCAGAAGACGAGAATGAATGTGCTCTGGGCACAAGATATGTGAGTATGAAGGTTGTAACCATGGTGATAAGTCCTATGAATAATGAAAAGATTATCCTCTCATTCGCTATGGGGGGCTATATATAGATGAGGTGTAGGGAGGATATGCACATAGTGGGTACTTTTTTATGTGACTAGTGATGTGATAATGTGCTTAGTGGGTAGTTATGTGTAGTGAAGGAAAGTTGAGAAAGAGTGATGGAGTGGAAATGCATAATGAATGTCTAGTAGTGGGGGGAGGGAGTTAGGACCATTTAATTGGTCCAGAACAAGATTATATCATGCACAATTTGGTTTCATTTCACAAGAACAGAAATAACCAGCCATGGATCCTTATTTTTGTTTTGGTGAACTTTGATTTTCATGCATATTGAAATTATTGAAGTAATATTGTTTATGAATTATGTTATTTGTTTTGGGAATAGGTTGTGTTTGTGAAATGTTATTTATACATCTTACTTTATATTTTTATTATTTGTATTTGAGTAAGATTCCTTTTCCTTGACAATTGAACTCTATTTGTTGTACAAGGGCACATCTAACCTACATTGATCTCAATTATAGAACTGCGTTGAGCAATTGGTGCCTGTTCGGTTGATTCGTGGTCATAAATCTTCGAGCAGTTACTCTGGTAAAGTCTACACTTATAATGGTTTGTACAATATAATTCATCGAAAATATTACTCAAACATGACAATTTTTTAAATTATTACATTTTGAAAATTCAGTAATTGTAATTAATAGTATGACAGCGACGAGCAACCAACTTCCTTTATAACACTCCCTTCAATTCATAACACTCAGGGGCTTCTCTTTTCATTCTCTTGCTTTGTCTTCATCTTTCAGCTCTCCAAAACTGATTTACAATCGAACGATTCCTCTCAATTTTTGTTCATCTTCATCACGCGAGTGCTTCGTTGTTTTATTCTTTTATTAATATATTTTTTCAATTGTTCGACATTTTCTTTCTCATATTTTTTTTTGCAATTCATGTTTACAAATGGCAATAGATAAATTATGTTGCTAACCAAATTAACAATAAATTTAGGGCCTTAAATATTTTCGTGGGAAATAGTGGCATCCTTAAAATATTGGGGACAAAAAAAATAGAAATTTAGATAGACAATGAAAATAAAAAAATAATTTAAAATTTATTTCAATTTTATGTGTTATGATATAATAAAAACTGTAAAGCACTAATATCTATTTATATTGATATTGGACTCTAAATTTTAAATAAATAAGGAAATAAATTAGGAAATGTAAAGAAATAAAAAATTTGTCTTAGGAAATCATATAAGATAAAAATAAAATATTATGAGATATTTTCACATATTTAACACAAATTCCAAAACTATGTACTTTATTTAAATAGGAAAATAATAATTTTTTATGGGTATTTTTATTTAATATTCATGAGAGAAATAGTTTATCATATAAACTTATTTTAAAAAAAAAATTAAATGATGGAGCTGGGCTGCTGGCATGTCACATGAAACTCAAAGTCTTAAACATCATTTTATATAAAATAATAATTATACTATATAATTATATAGGTTTATTTTTTTAGATATCAAACAAGTGTATGAAATCTTAATGGGCCTGAATAATTTAATTTTGGATTTGAATGTCTCTATCTTCCTCCTTAGTAGTTGTAACTCTTAAGAATTCGAACCTACTAATTTTATATACTGAACCAACAATTACTGGGTATAATTATGTAAATTTGAAAGAAAAAAAAAATTAGGAGAATGAAATAGAATCAAAGACACCTAATACACTCTAATAAACTTTGTTTAACGGACCCGCGTCACTAAAAGCAAGACCCAAAATGGTTAAACACAAGGCCCATTTATTTTATCCGTGGAAACAACCCAACCCAATCACCCACCCTTGTGTTCTGCAACAAACCAAAGACTCAGGACGAAGAAGGAGACAGAGACAGTGAGACACCATGGAAAGGAGCAACAACGACGACGCATCAGAAATCGAGAAAGTGGAATTCGATGCTTCGGAGGTTGAATACGTCAGTTATGGCGGCGAGCATCACCTACCTCTAGTCATGAACCTCGTCGACCAAGAACTCAGCGAACCTTACTCCATCTTCACGTACCGTTACTTCGTCTATCTCTGGCCTCAGCTTTCTTCCCTGGTTCCAAAACTGTTCACTTTCCACTTTTTATCATCTGGGTCTTTCTTCAATTCCTCTTTCACCACTCAGATTTTCTCAATTTTTTATTTTATTTATTTATTTATTCTTCTGTGCTTGGTTTTTAGGCGTTCCACAAGGGTAAATGTGTGGGTACGGTGGTTTGTAAAATGGGGGAACATCGTAACACTTTCAGAGGGTATATTGCTATGCTCGTTGTGATCAAGCCTTATAGAGGAAGAGGCATTGGTAATTCTTATATTTTGCTATTCTTTTTTATTTTTTTATGTATTCATTTCCAATTTTATGATGTGGTTATTGGAATTTTAATAAAAATGTTAGTGTTATGCTACTAATGTTTGGCGTTTGGGGTTTCCTTAATGTTTTTTTTCTGCAGCTACAGAACTTGTTACTAGGTCTATCAAGGTGATGATGGAATCAGGTTGTGAAGAGGTATGTATATATATGTATGTAACTATGTGTACTTGTTGTATGCCAAGGTTCTGTTGTTTAGTGGATTGGAAGTGATTGTTTTATAAACTGTTTGTATCATTTTTATTATGATGAAACATAAAACTTGAAATTGGAACTGATAGTCTAGTGTGATTATTGTTGAACTTTGTTGACTCGGGAAGTATTTTGTCTGAGAAAACAAGGCATGGACAATATGATATAGTGCAGGACATGCCAATAACTTGAATGTGTATAATAAGAAAATCTAAATTCTTTTTCTTCTTGTAGTTGCTTGTTCTTGATGCAGCCATTTACCTTGTGCAAATACTATTAGATGGCTCAAACACGAAACTGAAAACATTTGTTCATTTAATTGGTTTCAGCCAAAAAACCAAGATTAATTATCAAACATTCAAGTGTACTAGTTTACTAAAATATGCCTATATGCACTTTAAAATGTTTAGATTTAGATGTTTGTTTTACCTACTCTATGTAATGTTGAATAAGATATTACGCTGAGAATCAAGTCCAAGGTATGGAATTATGCCCTGAATTTCCCCTTTCTTGTTTGTTTCCCTCGTAAAGAATGAGTAGTGTTCTTATTTTCTGCTCTCTTCTAATTTGTTTGGTAGCAACAGCCGCGGAATGACATATTTTTCATTCTTCAACTTTACATATTTTTCCTTATTGAGTGCCAGCAACTTTTTAGGAGCTTATTTCATTTTGAAGTAACTAATCCTACTGTCATGATACAATTTTGATTAATGACTTGTAGTGAAGAAGAATACTAGCACACCCAGAGTTATCTTGAATAGCATCTATTTGTGCGCATATCTTCAGTCGAAAATTGTTTAGTATTTGGACAGTAGAGGCCATACTTAATGTTTAGAATACAATAATAAGTGCTGGAAAGTCAAAGAAGGTTGCATGCTGACTCACATTCATGTTTATGCATTTATATAGGTTACATTGGAAGCAGAAGTCACAAATAAAGGAGCACTTGCACTCTATGGTCGCCTTGGCTTTATTAGGGCTAAGAGGCTCTTTCACTACTATTTGAATGGAGTTGATGCTTTTCGTCTGAAACTTTTATTTCCCTGTCCAGAGTTGCACCCATCTCTTCCTATGATGGCAGATAAATATGAGAGCCATATGCATAGTGATCATGGTGATGCACCACTTGGAGAATGATTTGATTCCATCAATGATTGTGTATTCCGCACGAAACAAAAAACTTTTTGAGCATATTGCTCTATAATTGATTTCTCATATCAATTCTAATATAAATTTTTGTAGAATAATCCCTTTTATGTGAAATAATTATTTGTTCCTCCGTCACTAATGCGAGAAATTGAGTTTGATTCCCATCAAATATATTTTTGTAGAATAATCCCTTTTATGTGAAATAATTATTTGAAAGGGATTCCCATCAAATATATCATTAGAAAGGGGTGATGAGCTTTAACTATGACTAGACATCGACTTAAGATTAGTCTTATAATCGGCTCAAAGAGTTGAGGCTTATAGGAGTATCCGTGTGTCGACTTGTCTCAGAGAGATAGTTAGGTTGGTATATAAAAAAAAATATAATTTTATTTATTTATTTCAGAAGGTTTTTCAAGTTGTAAAAAAAGTTTTTATTTTTATTTTTATTCACCTCAAATTAAACTAATTTAAACAAGTATTGAATTGTTTATATGCTTAGTATCCTTTGATTTGCATTCTACTTTAATGGTGGTAAGACAAGTTACTATAAAATGGAATAAGCTCGTAGTAAGTTGTTGGCACTCTTTAATGGTAAAGAGATAGGTTGTAATTATAGTTTTTCTTTTCATTACAATTATTTTGTCTCTGTTAGATCAAAATTAGATTAACGATTCTTCTTTGATATCATTTTGTATATGTTGATTTGGATTTGATTTAAAAATTTATAAATATAACCCCTCAAGAAAGAATAAGTACAATTAAAGAAGGATTTTAGCATTATGACAAGTGAAAAATATACCATTCCAAGGTGTTTGGGAAACAAAAATTAGAAGGGAGCAGAAAACAAGAACACAAACATATCTTAAGAAAGGGGCACTATCATAAATCATAATCCAGATTTTGTTAATGAATATTGCAGAACCGGAAATTGCAGGGGAAATTCCTATAACTTGGACCTGATTCTCACTGTAATATCTATTCATCATTAGATAAGGAACATTGTAAAGTGGGTATTCGTATATTTTATCAAAGGGTTCGCTTTTTCTGCAGTTATCTGCAGTAAGTCAATACGACGTCGTTTTGGGACAGAAATCATGGTGTTTTTGTAATTTTAATTTATTTTAGGATTATAATTTTTTAAGATTTCAATACCAAAACGACGTCGTTTTGGAAATAAATGCAGATAACTTCTCTGCATTAACTGCGGAAACATTTTTCCCTTTTATTAAACTTATACCTTTGAATATTTTATAATCAATCTTTTTTTTGTCTTAATTTATTAGGACTATCAAATGTACAAAAGATAAAATGAAAACAAATATACATAAATATAATTGACCAACGAAAGTTGACTCACTCAATTGTTGTTCGCCTGTGACAAATGCATGACTTACTTCGACTGCAAAAATAAAATTTTTAAAGGGGTTCTATTTCTATATTTGCTAACCCAAAAGAGTCATCATAATTAGTGGCGAAGCTAAGATTTAATTTTAGTCGGGGCCAAAAAAATTGACATATCAAATTGTCAAAATATTTTTGTAATTACACAAATCTATTAGGAAAAAAAATTTACTTCAAATTTTTAAAGTAATAGGATTGATGTTATTTTAACAAATAAGAAATATTTATTTAAAATTTAAAATATAATATAAAATTAAATTAGTAAAGAAAGTGCACATTATATGTATATATATATATATAAGAAATTTTCATGTGACTTTTATGAATATTTTCATGTGATCTTTATGAACATTATTTCATGTGATGTTAATGAAAATTTATTTCATGTGATCTCTATTAATAAATTTTTTTATCTTTTATATTTTAATTTGGTATGGGTCTATAAACTTTAGTTTGCAATTTAGTAGGCCTTATAGGTCGTATTAGGTTTTTTTGTTTTTTATAATAGGTCAGACCAGACCTATAAATTAAGCCTTTAATAAGCTAATAGGCCAATATAGGCTCTAAATATTTTAGATAGGCTTAGGCTATCAAAGCCTGCCTAACTTGGCCCGTTTATACCCCTAGTCGTGATCTGTTAAAAACATCAACATAGAGGAACAACAAACTTCACAATTAAAAAGAAACATGGAACAATCAGCGACAAATGTTTAAAATCATTTAAATGACATTGAATCCACGTAAATCATTTAATCAGTGTTTAGATATTTTAAAACTTTAAAAAATACAAAAAAAACAAACAAAGAATATGTATAAGAAACTTTCATACTCCATATGTATACATATATCTTCATTTATTTTTTTCTTTAACAGTTTTCACTGATTAATCGCCAAAATTCTCATTCCTGTTGTGAAATCAAATACAAATAACACCAAGAAGCATTTCAATTCCATTACAATAGCAACTGTAACTCTACATTAAAATAATTTATTTTAAAAAAAATAAGGTAAACGTAAAACAACACTCCATTTTTTCAAAAGAAATAAAATCAATAACTACAACCACACAAAACAAAAAGTTGTAAATAAAAAAAAAAGGCATGAATTTCACTAATATTAGAAACACCTAATAAACAATTATGGTAAGCAAAGACAGAATTTCTCTTTTACAAAGTTCAAAAATGTAAATCATTTTTTCCCCGGCGGACAATATAATTATCAGTGCATATTTCAAGAACATGTATCTGTAAAGTATTGAGAAAGGAACGAAACATCTTACCTTGTCGCAGAATGGCCGGGTTCCGGGTGGTGAGTGCGAATAAGAAAAAAAAGGTTTGAAGAAAACCCCAATTGAAAAAAGATGAAAGAAGAAGAAGAAGAAATTAAGAAGAAAACAATCTGTTATTTGGTCATACACGCAAAGCAGCTCTAAATCTTCGTCTGTTATTACTGTTATAATTTTAGTTAAGGCCAACTTACAATTTTAACTAAGATCCAATTATAATTACTTATATAATTATATATAATAAATAAAATATATTGAACTGTAGCTAAGGCCCATAAGTATAACGTGGCTACGCCACTGATCGTAATTTGTAGGAGAAACATACCTTTACCCTAAATTTTTATTTTTATTACCAATATTTAAATTAGAAAATATATTATTTAAATATAATATTAGAGGAACAAAAAGAGAAATCACGTCAAAAAAATGTATGTTTGAGACAGAAATGCATAACGATTCTCGAACAGGTAAAGAGACACCACGAGAATTGCTGAAGGTTACGAGAAAGGAAAACAGTTCAAGGCAGCTAATAATAATATTGACCACTTAAGAACAAAGGAAACATAGAAGAGAAGTATCATAATATGACAAGGGAACAAATGAATATCATCCTATTTAGTATTTATATCATTACCCCTCATTTACGAGTGTTATCTTATTCACCGTCAGTAATGAAGCGAAGAAGGGACTAGCAGGGACATTTGCCACCTTCAAATCTATGTAAACCTTTAGCAGGGAACATTATTTCTAAATTCTTTGTCATATATCTAATGTATGCCCCCTTCAAAATCTACATAAACCTTTAGTTGTATGAATCATTTTTTATTTTTTTTATTAGAGTAAATATCATTTTTGGTCCTCACCAAATTTCACGATGCCCGTTTTAGACCCTAGCAAATAAAAAGGCCCATCGTGGTCCCTAAAAAATTTAAAAAAGACTCATTTTAGTCATTTTGAGAGACTAATATGAGTCTTTTTTGAATTTGTGAGGGATCACGATTTCAACTAAATAGGTCCATTTTGAATTTTTTAAGAATCATGATGGGCCTTTTTATTTGCTAGGGACTAAAGTGGATATCGTGAAATTTGCTGAGGACCAAAAAGAGTATTTACGCTTTTATTATATAAATAATTGTAACTTCAAAGGAGAAAATTATATTATAATTTTTCCACTCTTCAAATTTTTTTTTGGCTCTGTCATTATTCACCGCTACTCTCCGTACTATTAATAAATATCTCCCTTCACTACCATAATCATGTCCTTACACCTTTTCCTTAATTCTCAGCTCGTGACTAAGATTTATACAGTAACTTCATTGTCGAGCTCTAATTCTTATTATAAATTCACTAAATAGCTATTACATTGAAACATTTCACCATTTAAGGAAAAATATGTCCTCTCCACAAGTTCAATTTTTTATTATCTTATTGATTTTAATTGATAAAACCAATTATAAGAGTATTTTTATTAATGCTTACTAAAAATAATTAATAAAAATAAATGTATCTAACAATTAAAGAAAGTAAAAACAAAAATTTAATATTTTTTTATGTAAAAATTTATATATTTACTTACTATAAAAGGATGATGTGAGAAATTTGTAATTAAGCTGATTTATAAAAAATTGGTGATGCAACAATCTCTATCTTATGCAAGCCAAAAATTATTTATTCATATCTACAGAAAAGAAAATTATTGCGCTAATTGGCTATCAAATTTCGCTAATTGACTTCAATAAAGTGTGACCTTTGAATCAAATAATTTACAAAGAAAAAAAAGTGCCCCTTAAATTAATGCCCTAAAACTACGCTCAGCATGACACTCTCGCTTCTCTTTTCATTCTCTTAAGATGCAACAAGCAATGGGTGAAGAGACTATTGGTGATGATGTAGAGGCTGAGTCGTCGAAGAAGCAGAGGAAGAATAAGAAGCGAAAAGAAGCCAGTGGTGCACGCAAGATGCAGAAAGCAGTAATGGCTGAACTTGTCGAGGTAGAGGTAGAGGCTGAGTCTTCGAAGGAACGGAGAAAGAATAAGAAGGGGAAAGAAACACGTGCACGCAATATGCAGAAAGCAGTGATGGTTGAAGAGATTGTCGAGGTAGAGGTAGAGGCTGAGTCTTCGAAGGAACATAGAAAGAATAAGAAGCGAAAAGAAGCCCGTGGTGCACGCAAGATGCAGAAAGCAGCAATGGATGAACTTGTCGAACTAGAGGTAGAGAGGCTGAGTCTTCGAAGGAACGGAGGAAGAATAGGAAGGGGAAAGAAACACCTGCACGCAATATGCAGAAAGCAGTAATGGTTGAAGAGATTGTCGAGGTAGAGGTAGAGGCTGAGTCTTCGAAGGAACAGAGAAAGAATAAGAAGCGAAAAGAAGCCCATGGTGCACGCAAGATGCAGAAAGCAGCAATGGCTGAAG